GGAATAAGCTTCAGTCCCATGCCCCCCTCCCGGACTCAGCGAAAGCCACGGCCACCGTATTTAAGTTATTTATTTTATCACCAGACTGTGTAGTAATTTATACTGTAAATAACAACAAATGTTCTATAAACACAAACTGGAGAAAACGAGTCAGCAGCGGCGGCGCAGGAGAGATGAAAAGTATTAATATATGAAGAAGCTTTTATTGTAAATAGCACCAACAGGTATAAACTGAATGTCTGATGTTTTAGGGGACGTCACTGTGTTGGTTTTTTCTTTTGGTTTTGGTGCGATAGTTTCTGCAGTTTCTGTCGTTGAAAGCAGCTGAAGTTTAACGAGGAAACGTCCTTAACGAGCAGCGTCTGTAACGAACAAACACTCTGACACATTCCGAACCGTGACACAAAAAGAAAAAGGCTCGCACAAAAAAAAACAAACAAACAAACAAACACAAATCTCATTCTGGTGTAGCATCATTTATTCTGTGTTTTGGATTCTTGTTGCACCTGAATTGCCTCTTGCAAGAATTTGCACAACCAATAAATCCACAGTCCAAGCTGAGCTGCCACAGTCGGGCTGGTTGTCGTCTTCTCTCCGGGATTAAAAAAATAAAAACACATCAAATAAAATTACTTCAGTTTGTTAAACCTTTGTTTTCAACTCAAGCCACGTTTTGGTCAGAACAGAAACCAGAAGGTTCAAATTAAGATGTTTTATTTCGAACATTTCAACAAAAATCCAGATTTTTTTTTTCTTTTGTTTAAATCCATTAATGTTTCTGTTTAATTTGAATGCATCAACATTAACGTCTGTTCCTTCCTGTAAACTGGGCGATTATGGAGGAAATAATTTAATTATTGAAAATAAGTGTTTATTGTTCAACTCCTGGTCTTTAAAATGTGAAAAAAAACTTGATTCACAGCTGAACAAAGTAAACATCAAATCTTTTTTCTGTTTCGTTGAGTTATAAAAAGATATTTTTGAACTTTGTGGCAGCGACATGTTAAAGAATCACCTTTTAACGACCTGAGACCGGTTCTGGAGGACCCGAGGAGACCGGTTCTGGAGGTTTTGGAGTGAATGTTGTCTCGTTCTGGTCGGATGGAGGATTCTAGCGGTTCTGGATGGGGTCAGATCTTGTTCTAAAACCTGTAAACGTTTCTGCGTTGATGGTAAGCTGCTAATGCACCCCCATACCATCAGCGAGGCAGGCTTTGAGCCGTGTCTTGACTGCGGAGCATGTGGTGTCTAGTTTCCAGACAGAATTCCAGATTCGGATCCGTTTGGCTTCAGAACAGTTCTCCACTCTGTCCAGACGGTTCTGGATGCTGGCTTCCGCTTTGTCTGATAGAGCTTTAATCTACATTTTTAAATGCGTGGAAGGGTTCCTGGTCCCATGTAGTGAAGCCCAGATCCAGACCTGGTTTAATGCAGTGGAGATTTTCACAGATAATCTGTAGAGATCTTCAGGGTCTAAACGAGTTTTACTTCGAAAAACTTTTTTTATACCAAACATTAATTTTTGTATTTTTTTATTTTCTATCATATTTGATGTTTACGGTGTTCAGTTATGAATTTTTTTATTTTTCAGGTGAAAAATTCTAAGATTCAATAAAAATATTAAATGGTTTCAGCAGAATTTCTCCTGGATTTTAGATTTTTAATTTCTATCAAACAGTTTCTCAGTTATTTCTTCTCATCATTTCACTCCGTCTTTGTTTTTTATTTTTGTTTTGTTGTTTCAGCTGCAGGAGGTTGAAGTATTTGAATCTTTAATTCCTCGTTATGACTTTATTTGAAGCGTTGTTTTCATCTTTGTGTTTCTGCTCTGACGGCTCACAAACAGCAGCTTCTCAGTCAAGGTCGTGACCTCTGGCATGAACTCATCCTTGTTGTCAGCAGTGACACGTCCCCCCTGACGAGTTTTAAACACGACGGCTGCTCTCAGACGGAGGAAAACAGACAGAAAATCTACGAACTGTTTTAATTTCAGCAGATTTTCTCTTTTTGGAAACACACTGATCCAGATGCATCCTCAGAATAAAATGAATTATCTCGTCTCTTATCACATTTCTTTGGTTTCTACATCAATAGTACCTTTTTTTAAGAACATATTACAACACTTAATTTGGCTTTTTTTTCTTCAGCTGTCAATCCAGTTTATATCTTTTAAAAAATCACAATAGTTTAATACGATTTAATTTATCTGGATTAAACACATTTGATTGTTGGATTATTTCATTAGTTGTGATAAAACGGTTCAAAATAGTTGAATAATTTTTAATGTTCTATTTATTCACTTTCCCTTTTGTTTTCTAAAAAATAATGTTTTTCCTTCGAATTGCCAGCGGGGGGCGCGAGACTTTAAAAACAGCTGTTTCGTGTCTGCAGAGGTAGAGAAGAATATTTTTCATTTAATGCGAGCGGACAAAAAGCAAACTGTCGACTAGTAGATGAGGTTATTTTATTACAAAAGCTTTGATAAAGAAGAAAAAACCTAATCTTATTGATAAAGTAGAATGTACAGTCAGGATGCAAATATTTAGACCTACTACATTACCCACAATTCCTTCGCCGTATCACTTCGCGCATGCGCATTTGTACTTTTTTATTTTACTAAAATTGAAGCAAATGAGACGAAGGATTTTTGATTTCACAATGAAAAAAAATTTTTTTTTCCTGAAACTTTCCTTAAAAGGTATGAAATGGGGATGGAGGGAGATACATGAATATCAGATGCAGTCCAATAGGCACAGTGCGTTTCGGTGGCATCTTAATGCAGTACCATATTTTATATGTTTATGGAACCAAATTTATAAATTTTTAATATTACAAAATCAGTAAATCTCTTTTACTCGAGAATACAGTCGCGAAAACAGTCGTGTCCATTTTTATCATAATTATAAATTTTATACAAATTAATAAATAATTGGTTTTTGAGATCAAATGGAGCGCACTAGAACAAACTGGAACAAGTCTTAGACCAACCCCCACACGTTGGAGTAAACAGAACGACGTCAGTGGGCGTGGCTTCACCAGCGTCAGATTGACGGCAGCGGAAGCGTCAAGCAAAAAATGGGCAGAAGGAGCAGAAGTATATTTTCCCTAACCTGATGACCTACTTCTGGACAACAGCTTCATATATCAATCATAAGGAACGGGAAGGATCATTTTATCCGTTGTGTTTCATTAAACATTAAAAACTTTTGCTGTCTTTCAAAAAAACTAGAGCAAAACTGCATGTCTACTTGCACACCAAGTGGAAAAGACAGTCTAATTTCAGACATCTGTAAGAACACGTTTATTTCACATTTTATTCGGTATGATAATTAACAGTTTTTTACAGTTTTCACAGAAAAAAAATATGGGAAATATCGCTTTATAACGATACATGTAGGTCGTTACTTAAGCGGTTCTTTTATTCTGAAAAGACAAGCGGAAGAGGCTAACAGCCATTAGCTTGACCTAGCTAAAAAAAAAAAAAAAAAAGCTTGACCTAGCGTTGGTATTTTCACGGTGTTTTCCTGTGGTTGTATCAGACAAAACTAAGGTTCGATTCGCTTCGTAGCGTTCTAATGCGACATGGAGAAGGAAATCGGGACTGTGGCGGTTAAACGGTAAAGATTTGTTTCATCAAACAAACCTTTTTAATCTTTGAAATGTTGCGGTTTTTTTAAATTCGTATTTCCCGTCGCGACTGCTTCGTGGAGCCATGATGAAAACGAAGCAGCAGGCTGCTGGTGCTGGTGGAGAAACAAGAGTTGCTGCTGATTTTCACCGTTTCACTCTGATTTTAAAAGCCAGGGTTTAAATAACATTTTCACAGCTTAGTTTGATTTAATTTTAAATCTAAAAATCCGATTTTAACCGTGCTGTGTCGTCCGTTTTACCCATAATTGGGATAGTGGTGTGTTTGTGCGTCTTTTGTTCATCAGTAGTGGAGGTTCTGCAGGATTTCAGGCTCACTTAATGATTCTTGTGTTTTTGTTGCATTCACAGATTTCTGCACAGTTTTCTGTGTGTGTGTGTTTTTGTGGTTGTTGCAACATTTATGTGTAAGTAAGGCAGTAACAGATGTTTTCCCATTTGTTTTGTTGCCTTTTTTTTTAGTGAATTTCCATGTTTTTATATTTAAAAGGTCTCTGCCTCTCCTGGCACTGCTTAATCTCAGTGAATGGAAGTCTCCCACTTGGACGTAATCCAGATTATGTCCCTGCTGCAGACTCAGGTGTTCAGTTGCAGACCATAAACTCACACCCAGACATTCAGCAGTTTTATTGAGTAATGAGACAGATTGACCTCAGTCCAACTTCTGACCGGACTTTTTGTTCCCTGAAGCTCCTTCCTGCTGCCAGTTCTAGGTTTTTATTTTCAGATTTGCCTCAGAAACACTGACGGTCTGTGGCACCAGTTGAAAGAGCCTCTGTTACAGATTGTAGCTGTAGATTAAGTTAAACTGCAGTGATCTGTAAACGTGTTACTGCAGCATCAATGTGCTCTGACGGTGGAGGATATTAGTAAATCAAAATTAATGTTTTTTTTGGGTAATCTCTTCCCTAAATTGCAAAAATAAACAAACATTTTTAATTGAATATAAACAGGTTTTTATTTAACAGCTTTAAAAATACATTTCATTTTATTCTGTTAAGTGAGCAAAATTCCCCATTTCGTTTACTTTACTGTGAGCAAAATGGTTTCAAATGGCATTTTATGCTATAAAAGTTAGAAAAAACAAAGAATAAGAATGATCTGAAGGTTGTTGAGACTCTGATGGTCTGATGGTTGTTGAGGGTCTGATGGTTGTTGAGACTGATGGTTGTTGAGACTCTGATGGTCTGATGGTTGTTGAGGGTCTGATGGTTGTTGAGACTGATGGTTGTTGAGACTCTGATGGT